AGTGACTGTTGTGAGAGCCTCCCGGTTCAGGTAGGGGCGCAATTGGTGCACCAGGCGAACCTGGGCAAATGCCCCCCTGGTCACAGCTGACAAATATTTCCATAGGGATAACTGTAGGATCTAAACAACTGCCTAATAAAGAGTTTCATAGCAAAGCTATGAAATCTAATACTGCTTTTATTCAACGTGGCTGCTGCATCTCTGTGCTGCACGCTTTCCGGATGCGGCTTAGAGGAAAGCGGTGGCTCACAGCTGCTAAATTGTACAAGAGACTCTTTCTGCCCAGGAAGAGCAGCAGCGGAGAGAAGCAGCCGCTGCCCCACAGAGCAAAGATGGAGCAGAGCAGGCCCCGAAAGGCTGCTCGGTCAACAGTTGCCGCGTGGCGAAAACTGCCCATGCGCGGAAGCTGTGAGGATGCACATGTGCACACACCAGTGGTGGGTTCTGGATCCTGTCGCAACCAGTATGCTTTGATGTGGCTGGGTATCCACCTCGGGCATGTGTGCTGTGCATGCGTGCGCATGCACATGCACCCATTGCCCTGCGATGTTCCAGATGCTCTGCGGAGGTCACGCAGGTGCCGTATGCTGCGTGCGTGTGCACAAATGGCCTGGTTGTCTTAAAAGCAAGTAAGGAATGTGGGTGGGCCCACCAAAACACTGTTCCGGTACAGTGGCCGCATCTCCCAGCTGCCACCAGTACACCCGTATCGGGGCATTCCGGCCGGAACCCACCCATGCGTTCACATTTTTGGCAAACCGGTTGTTAAGTGGGTTGGATCCCACCACTGCATTTACCCAAGAAGAAGGGTAATTTTCCATCCAGTGATACATCTATCTTGTCACTGAAGATGGAAGGTGTATAGATTAATGAAATGAACCTATCTATGAATTTGACAAGGATATTTTTCCCCTGGCTTTGTCTTAGGTGAACGGCCTCCTAATGAATCTGCCCATCACCCTTGCGATGGGAAAACTCTATGCCTATTCTACTACTGCCTTCCTCACTATTGAGACCGATACGGGCCTCTCTGTTTCCTATGATTGGTCTCACCACGTGTCGGTTTCAGTTCCTGAAATTTACTCGGGGTCCCTCTGTGGCCTTGGCGGAGATTTCAACCAGAATCGCCACAACGACTTCAGGACTCCCAGAGGTTTGGTGGTTCAGGATCCAGAGACTTTTGGCAACAGCTGGAAAGATTCTGGCTCCCCATTCCACTGCGCAGCTGTCGGGCCTTTACCAAATTGCAGTGAAACGGAATTGGCCCAATACCGATCTCTGGATTATTGTGGACTCATTCGTGATACGAATGGGCCATTTCAAGACTGTCATGACCCAATGGAGGCTCAGTCTTACACAGAGCATTGTGTCAAGATCCTATGCGCAACACGGGGCAGCCACAAGATTCTGTGTGAAGTGCTATCTACGTATGCCCAGAGATGTCAAGCAAACCACATCAAGATTCAGCCATGGGGAAAGATCACAGGGTGTGGTAAGTGATATTCAATAGAAAGACTGGTTTTATAAACAGAAATGGACATTTGTGCAGGTTTGCAGATGAAATATGGTGTCTGTTAGACATGGCATTCCACTGTCAGAGAATCTCGCTTCTCTTTCTGTAAAATAGTTTTTAAAGAAAAAGGAAGAAAGAGTGAGAGAGAGAGAGAGAAAGAAAAAGAAAGAAAGGATGGATGGATGACTATATCTGTTTGTGTGTGAATCAGACCTTCACTCCTGTCAACCTGCACTGGAAACAATTAATGAACAAGCAAAACATTTGGAAGGAAGTGTGTAACAACATCACATAACAACAACTGTGTGTTTTAAATGAAAATCCTTTTTATGAATGAAAGCAAATATATGTGTCCCAGGATAATTTGCAAGATCCAATCTGGGAATCAACTCTGAAGCAAACCTGGCTGAAGCCATCTTTTGCTGCCTCATAGTTGTCATGAACCTTGAGAGGGGGAAGGGAAGGGGGAAATAGATAGACTGGGTAACGGTCAAAACGGAAAGTTTTCTCATGGGAACCAAGGTCATCTCAACAGGTGGCAGTTGAAGGGGGAGAGGAATGACCAAGTAGCCGGCCAGCTACTTTCACTGGACACTGTGTCTGGTGACATCTAGGAGGGGGAAACTTTGACTCTTTTAATTAGGGAAAAACCACAGGAGCTTTTAGAGTTGGTTTTCCACC